CAATAATTTTATAAGGAATCCACTGAATATATCAATTATAAAACGTTAAAATGAAAACATTTTCAAAATTTACAAATACAAAGCAATACTTTATACAAGAGCTGTATAAAGTTCAATAATGTAAAAAATACTTTGAACTGAATAGAAAGCATGTTCAGTTATGTTGTTTTGTAGAACTACTTTTCTCTTCTCTGGTCCTGATGTTTCTCTAACTCTCTGGAGCGCTCAGAGGACAAGCATTTTTTAAAAAAATAAGTTTATGGGTATAGTTTAGCCACACATAATGATCACATTTATTATAGGGAATTTGTACCTGTACCTGGTTTACCTTGAATCTTTATTTTCCATTCCCCTACCCTCCCTTTAACTCCTCTTGCTCTCCTTAGTTACAAGAGGTTTGTTTCCATTTTTTTCTTCTCTCGTTTTTTCTTTTCCCTTCTAGACAAAGAAAGAATGCCAGTTACAGAAGAAATATCAGGAACCAACAACAGGATCATGTCAAAGGAAACAACAGAGTAAAGAGCAAAGGAAACAATAGAGTAAAGAACTACTTGCATGTGTTAGTTACTTTTATCTTGCTGCTGAGACAAAATTCCCAATGCCCAAAATTAAGGAAGGAAAAGCTTATTTAGCTCATAGTTTGTGCAGGTTTCAGGCCATACTCAGCTGACTCCAAGGCAGAGTGGTGTTGCACTGGGGCAATAGTTCAAAGCAGTGGAAGACAGAAAAAGCAGCAAGAGCAAAAAAGGAAGAAGAAGGAGGGAAGAGCAAGCCTCTTTCCCTCCTTTATAGTGTACACAGGCTACTCCCCCAGGGTGGGTGTAGTGTTCACACCCATAATTCCAGCATTGGACCATGAATCAATCACAAACTCTAGAACCATCCCCCACATGACTGCATGAGGCTTTAGGAGTTCATCCAGACACAAAGCCATAACACTGTAGAGAAGGAAAAGTTTGGGGCCAGCTATTCTTTGAACTTAGCACTATCTAGACTATGTAAGAACTCAAAAATATTAGACCCTTCAAAATAAAAATCCCAATCAAAGAATAGACAACTGAAATGAACAGATATATGTCTTAGAAATACAAACATAGAATAAAAACTGGAAGATGTTCAGTATCTCTGGCCATTAGAGAAAAAAAATGACACTGAAATTCTACAATACTCCAGAGAGAAGGACTATAATCAAGAAATCAAGTAACAAATGGAGAGGATACAGGGAAAAAGAAAACCTTTTTACATTGTTGGTGTATACTAGTACAATCTGTAAAAACAAGTACAGAGATTTCTCAAAAAACTAAACCAGGGCTGGTGAGATGGCTCAGCGGTCTAAAGCACCTACTTAGAACAAGCTTGGCAAAGCACAGTGGACCGCGGTTCAATCCCCCAGCACCACATGCCAGCCAGCCCCGCCCCCTGGTGGGCTGAGCTGGCCACACACACACACACACACACA